GCAGAAGGGGAAACGGGGCAGCTTCAGTAGCCCCACCAAAGTCTACTCTGTTCACAACTGTAGGTTCTCAGTATCTGTTCAGTGAATGAACAAACGAACCATATAGCTTTGGGGCAAATGAATGACTCTTTAGGCAACGCGACAGCCTAAGCAAATGCACAGAAATTCTGGATTATTTAAAACCATTCAAATTTGTTTTAACAGCCAAGTTGGAGAGAAGGGGGAGGGAAATCTCCAAGTGGCACAGAGAAAGAGAAACATCAAAGGCAAGGTGTGAAGAACAAGCTGCATGGCTCATCTCCCTTGCAGCCGGGGTAACCCTGCCTGTGCTGCAGTTTTAGCCAACAAGACTTAAGCCAGTGGTTCTCAACCTTCCTAATGCCGTGACCCTTTAATACAGTTCCTCATGTTGTGGTGACCCCCAACCATAAAATTATTTTCGTTGCTACTTCCTAACTGTAATTTTGCTACTGTTACGAATCGTCATGTAAATATCTGATATGCAGGATGTATTTTCATTGTTACAAATGGAACATAATTAAAGCATAGTGATTAATCACAAAAACAATATGTAATTGTATATGTGTTTTCCGATGGTCTTAGGCGACCCCTGTGAAAGGGTCGTTCGACCCCCAAAGGGGTCGAGACCCACAGGTTGAGAACCGCTGACTTAAGTGGAAGTGGGCTAGGGATTTCTGGGTAAGTTTGGCTTTTCTGATCTGGGGGCCATCCCTTCCTCCTTGTTGCTTCCCTCTCTCTCTCCTACCTGGACAGTGGCTGTGAGGCTGGACGAGCCAAATTGCCACATGAAACAGGCAGAAGGATGAAAGCCACGGCTGAGCGATGGAGGGGCAGGGAGATACATGAGGAAAAGGACACAGATGACAGTATTTCTTCCCTGCTCTGCCTACATCCAACATGTTCGTTATGTTAGAAGAACAAAACCACTACAGTCAGGTTCGGTTGCATCTCTAGGTAATACGTGATGTGTCTGGGAACTTGGATGGAAGAAAAACACCTTTGAGAAATGGAAACTCCAAGCCTGAGGTACATGTGTATATGGGTTCTGAATTTATGCTGCCTGCTTGACTTAAAAATCCTAAGTTGAGATATTTCATTAAATAAAAAGTCAAGCTCAGACTCTAGTTCTAGTAGTAAAAATAAACACTCACTCCTTGGGAACACTTTTACATCTCTTAGGAAGGGAAAAAATTAAAGATACGTTCACAGTAAAAAATTACAAGGTCCATGAAGGAATAAACGATGGTGAGGTGAGTCAACAGATATAACAGAAGGAAGAATCAGCATTCAGAGAACTGCATAAAAAGAGGACACGACTAAAGATATAAGCACAATCATAGAAATCATAATAAAAAAATACATAAAAACAATACAATAAGCAAATTTGAAGATGAATCAAACTGAGTCTCTATAAAGGGAAAACATAGTCACTGAAATTAAAAATGCAATGAACAGGATAATGAATAAATAAGACAAAAGTGAAGAAAGAATATATAAACCAGAAGATAGATTGGAGGAAATTTCTCAGAATGCAGGACAGAGAAACTATGAAATTGTATTTAAGTGCTTTGGAAAATAGATCAAGAAATTTCAAAATATACACCAAGTAGAAATTCCAGACAGAACAAAGAATAGAAATTTGAGGAAGAGAAGATTTTAAGAACGTAACACCCGAGTTTTCCATAACTAGAGTAAAATCCAAGTCTTCAGATTTTGGAAGCATGCAAATGCCCTCGCAATAGTCAAAGGACTGTGGGATATAATTACATCTCTTCCAACTCAAGCTGGCCATGGGTACAATATCAGTAGAAAAATTTGCTCACGTTTTTTATTGTTAAGTTTATGGCAACTAAAAATATAATCCCTGCTCTTTTGTCTTTTCTCAAAGTGATGACAAAGATTTCTGCCTAGATACCAAGACCACCGGACATGACATCCTGGGCCAGACCAAAGACCTCTCATTGACTCTAGACCTTTCATTGGCCCCAAGAATCCTTTGAGGACTCCCAGTTCATATGATCTCTACCACTCCAGCCAGAGGGGCGATTTGGAAATGTCATTACCCCCAATTTACTCTCTCTCTTTTTTTAATCCTCAGCTGAGGATATGTTTTTTTATTGATTTTAGAGGGAGAGAGGAATGAAGAGTGAGAGAAGGAGAGAGAGAGAGAGAGAGAGAGAGAGAGAGAGAGAGAAACATCAATGTGAGACAAATATCGATTGATTGACTCATGTACACAACCCCACCAGGATCAAGCCCGCAACCTAGGTATGGGCCCTGACCAGGAATGGAACCCAAAAACTTTTGGTGTACAGGACGATGCTCCAACCAACTGAGCCACCTGACCAGGGCCCAATTCTTTTTTTAAATGGAGGTATAATTTACATATTCTAAAATGCACATATTTTAAATTGCAATTCTATTATTGTTGATGAACCTATACACCCATCCCAATCAAGGTACAACGTAAAGTCATTTTTAAAGGAAACATTATCTGGATGGACTCAATAGCAATAAAACGCAATAGCTTCTATTTCCAAATCTTACATTTGCAATCTTAGAAATAGCATCCAAGACTTGGAGATAATGAGAGACAGTGTAGGAAATAGTACATTTCACCCCATCTCTAAGAATAGTTCTATTTTCCATAGTAATTTAGATAAGAAACAGAAAATGCTATAAATCACTGCAAAGTGATTTGTACTTTAAAGTACACATCTTAACATTGGTGTGCTGAAAAGTGATTAATCACACTTTATTTTCCTCTCAAATTTTCCCATGCTGCCACAGGAATAAGCTGAAACACCTTATCTTCTGTCCTATCTGAAACATCTGAATTGACAGCCTAGGCCAACTTCCATCCTAGCAACGGGGTGCAGGGCTACAAATAGTTCTCTTCAAGTCAAAGGAAAATAACAAATACAAGAACACCCACTCTGAAGTTCCTTTATTTTGGTTTAAACCTCCCTTAACAGGCTCTTTTCAAGTCTTTGGAGCATTATTAAATGATCCGCTATTGATTTCCCGTGCTTAGCGCCGGTGAAATGGAGAGACTTGAAGACTAATGACTGGCGTCCACTCACTGTCTAAAGCACAGGTACAAAGGCAGAAGGAGCACTCGGAGCGCATTCCTACAACCATCCTCGAAACTGAAATTTCAACACCGGGAAATAGGACAGGAGGGAAACAGGCCACAGAATTCAACTCATCTCTCTCACTTAAATGTAGCACGCTGCTATTTCTGTTACTTATCTTGGGACATTTTATAAATATTGGTATATTTTGCTATTCAGCATGAAGCTGTATGCTTACTTTCTACCTTTGAAATCCAAATTTCCAGAGACTCACTTTTAGGAAAGCATTCCTCTATTTTCAGCTTCATTCTCCATGGGCCATTTATTTGCAATCCAGAGCCATTGGGAAACTAGAGGTAAGAATCTGCCCTACCAGTTTCTACCTTAAAAAGAAAAGCTTTCAAGATAAACAAACCAATTTTTTAAATGGGGAAAAGAGAAAAACAGGTGTTTCCCTAAGCAGGGGAGGGGGGGGGGTGGGAGGGTGGTCACATAAATTCAACCTCATAAATAATCAGGAAAATGCAAATTAAAAAGAAGACACCATTTCACATCCCACCAGATTAGTAAAATTTTGTAATCTGACAATACTTTTAACAAGAATATTTTATCATTAAACTCAATTGTGTTTAATACCCAAGCTATCTACACTGGGGGGGGGGGCGTTAAAACATATGCCCCTTTCTCCTTAAAAGCATATATATTTTTTAAAAGGGGTATAAAGAAAGGCATTGACTCTGTAAAAAGTAGTCGTCACACTTTATTCTTTCAGCGTATTCCAAATTTAGGGGTAAATCTATGGCTCAGAAAACCCCTGGTGACTAAGCCCGCTTCCAGCCTTGGCATGGCCAGCCGTCCCAATCCTGGCTGACTCTGCCAGGAGGCAGAATTACACATTTGCACATGGTTAAACAGTTTCGTCACTGAAGTAGATTTAAACTAGCTTTAAAAGAAGGAAAAGAAAACATTCGGTGCATTCCACATGTTCCCCTAAGTATATTGTACCGTCAAGTCATGCTGCATGGTGCATTCCTCAGAACTCCCAAACACTACTTAAATGGTGCACATAAATCACTGCATCCTGGTGAAATACAGCTGTCTCCTCCAGGAGAAGTAAGGGGTGACGCCTGGGGTGAGGACCCCTCCCTGCTCAGCAAGAATCCACGGCAATTTGAAGGGACCCACACTGTCTCGAAGGCTGGAAAGCTTGCGGGGTTCTCTTCCTTTCTGCTACCCATCCACCACAATCTTTGGGTTAAAGGCTCTTGTTTCAAAAAACTGGTGAATTCTACCTTCTGACCACACGATCCATCTCAGCAGTTCCAGCGTGTGTGAACTGTGGGATCCCAAGGGCGCAAAGTATTGTCAGAATGGATCAGTGAAGAGAGCAACTCAGAGGGAAGATGGAAGAGGGTGCAGAACCCAGAGATGAATAAAGACATGCACGGGGGGTGAGTAAGCTCCTAGCAAAACGACTCTTTTTTTTACCAAAGAATTCACCTTGGGACGCATGAAACTCACAGACGCGACTGGATGGACAACAAAGCTGTTTACACATCACAAACCCTGGGGTAGCCAGAACCTGGGCCTGCGTTCTAGACGCTTCCTCTGGAAAGGAGCCCGCCCCGAGGGGGAGGGGCGGGGCCTGGGAAAGGAAGGGGCGGGCCGCGAGGGGAGGGGCCTGGGAAGGGAAGGGGC